GTGATCGATTCAATATTCATTTATTTTTTCAAATTTTAGAATCTTATTGACAATTTATTATTGATTCAATTACTCGATCAAATGAGATTATGATAATACTGCCTTAATCTAATAAATTTTATCAAAGACTCATCTTGTAAAATAAATCTAATTTGAAAGAAGGTTGGTTTTATGTTTGAGTTGGTTTGAAAATTGTTTTTTCTTTAAAAAAAAATCTTTTTTTTCAAGTTTTCAAGTTATTTTCAGGTGTTTGACAAAAAAAATTTAAGTTGAACTTAAGTGAATTTTCATCTTGTTTTCTGTCAAACCAGTATAAAAAATTGTAAAGTTTATTTTTTACAAAACAAATAAAACCTAAAAGGAGAAAAAATTTTAGACACTCTTAGGTAGTTATTGATACCATTTTTAAAATTACTGTAATGATCTAATTATCATATTTAATATAATATTTTTAAATCATTGTGTTTAGTACTATTATAAAAAAAATAAATCATATAGTATAAAATATCAAAAATAATTTTTAAAAAATAAAATATTTAATATTTATTGAATCAATAATTTATAAAATAATTAAATATTATATTATAAAAAACTACAAAATATAAATCAATTTTGATAAAAATAATTTTTAAAAAAGCTATTAAATAAATTTATTTTTTTAATCAATATAAATTTATAACATAAAAAAATTTTTAGAATAAGTAATTAAAAATTTTATTTAAAAAAATTTTTAAAAAAATTAATGACTTGCTTCTTAAAGTAATGTTAATTATGTTTTTTGTGAGAATAAAATAGTCAAAAATAATATTAAAAATTATTTTTTATATTGATAATTTTTTTTTATTTTTTAGTTTAGAATCAAATCATCCTCTTAAACAATAATTTTATTATTTTAATGATTTAAAATTATTATCACAAAAAAATTTTAAATTATTATAAAAAAATATAATTGTTAAATATAAATCACTATAATTTTTAAATAAATCATACCATACTAAATACTTTTTTAAAATTCTAATAAACTCTTAGCATAAAAAAAATATGACAAACAGTAGATTAATCTTAATAAACATAAAAAAAAAAAAAAAGTTTTGATTGATGGTCTAAACTTAAAAAAAAGGTTTTGATTGATGGTCTAAACGTGTTCAAAAAGACAAAAAAAAAAAAAGTTTTGACTGATGGAAATTTATGGGTAAAAAAGAAAAAAAAAAGTGCTTTGATTGATGGTCTAAAGATGCTTATGGATCAATTCTCCCGAGACTCAACTGATACATTAAAAACTAATTTGTTTTTTATTAAGTTGGTTCGATTAACTCATTTAAAATTTATTTATTATTAGCATATTTTTACATTAATTTTTATATTTTAAAAATTAAAATAAAATTATTATTTATTTATTAACAAAATAACATCACGAACTGACTGCACCGGACCGTAACCTGCAAGTAGTCAGATCCGTGAACAGTGTAAGTAATATAAATTAGTAATTTTTTAATTTTTTTCGAAATATTAATAATAAAATAATTTTTTCTTCATTGCTCCTTTCATAATTCCCTGAATGAAAGGACCGCCGGGTGCCACGAATAATAGTTTGCAGTAGCATAGTTGGAAGACATGTCATGATACACAGCCAATAGAGCCACGTGGTTTGACTTTATAAGTTAAAACACTTGTTTACTCTGTTGCCGCGCCTGGGTTTTCGGTCTTGCTGAAGATATACTCAAAGCACTTGGACTGTTTGACATGATGAAAGCTGATCCACTCAACCTCAAGCTTTCTTTCATATCCAAAAAGAAGATTAGACAGAAACCAACTCATCATTACTCTTGAAGACATTGTTTTTGTTTTTTTTTTTTCTTTTATCCTGACTCTCTTGAGGCAGAATTATTCAGCCATGGTACACCGACAAATTCAACTGATTTGTTAGCCTCTCACTCTGCCACAACGATGAAGGTGATGATGCATCCAAAATCACCATACTTCTGCAATATGGACTGACAGCTGGATATCACAATCCTTAACCCTTGCACATTCTAATGTAGGGAAGCATAATTAATAGTAGAAAACAGACTTGAATTATATTTTTGTATATTTATTCATAAAAAGCCAGAATCAATGGTATGCATTCTTCGGGGCTCAATCTTTGGATAACCCCTCTTTCAGAAGAGCAAGCTTCAGTTGTAATTAAGGTGGCTAATTATCTACGAATTTATATTTGATATTGTTAATATATAATTTTTATATATTATTAATAAATTAAATAATATTATTTTATTATTAAATTAAATTAAATAATATTATTTTTTAATAAATAATTTTTTAAAAATATTAATTTTGATATATTTATTTTAAAAATTGATATTTATTTATTAATAAACTAATATTATATAATTTATTAATAATATAAAAAAATTATATACTAATAATATATCAAATATAAATTAATTATTTATGATTGGTAGTTACAAATCCTGAATTTTTGTCATTTTTTGGCTAACCTACGTAATTAATCTCTATCAATATTATTATCCGGCATAATGTGACAAAGAAAAGAAAAATGATGCAGAAGAGATTGCAATCAAATGAAAAAAAAAAAAAAAGTTATCGATAAATGCTATTATTAATGTAGAACAAAACTTACATGATGTTTTTTAAGTAAAATTTATAAAGTTTTTTTTAAATGAATTAATAAAAATTTCAAATTAATAAATTAATAAAATTTAATATGAAAATTAATAATATTTAAAAAATTATTAAAAATATTGTTTATAATTCAAATTTTATTACAATTTATTCAATGGTAAAAATTTTATTAATATTTTTAATACAAATATCTATCTTAAAATATATATATCAAAATTTTTTAAAATTTTGTATATTTAATTTATATAACAAAATTTTTTAATTTGTCTTCAGCTGCTTCATATAACGGTCAAAACAGCATTAAAAAAAATATCAATGTCGGAGTTCGAACCCCAATATTCTCCCCTCCCCTTTAATGTAAGGTTCTATCCCCTTTAAATGATCAAAAAAAAATTTTAATTTATCAATTTTATTTTTTAATTTAATTATTTTTAATAAAAATTTTACGAATTTCACTAAAAATACCTTTACCTAAAATTTTCTTATTTAGTGCATGCATCGTCCTACAAACCGATCATATACAATGATATTTGCAAACAGCTTCTTACTATTATTGTTAGGACAATAAAATCATCGTCCTTAATTTGCCCAAATACTATATGCATATCATATGCGTCTCAGTAATTCAGTATATGTCTTTGGTTTTTGCAAATGGTAAATTTAAAAATGCCATGTTCCAGAATTTAATTCCTATGAGTATAATATAGCAATAGTAGGATATGTTTCTTAAGAAAGAAGAAAATAAAATAAATATTTATATCTTCTATATAACTGGACTACTTACTAGTATAGATTTTTTCTTTATCTTGTAAATTTTATTTAAGCTAACAAAAAATATTTTATATTCATATAGTTGTTGTGTATATAGAACTACTAATTAAATACTATATAATATAAAGTTTGTTTAGTAGTTTGGCTTTTAGGGTATGGATTAATAATTGAATCTCCTAAGATTAAATTTTCTTTTTTCTAGTAGGTAATACTACTAATACTTTTGTCTCTAACGAGAAAACTGAGCCGTCGTCCATAAATATTTAATTCAATAATTAATGTCTTCATTAATGCAAAGATTAAAGTTCACAAATTTTTTAATTTACAAAAGAGTTGTTAATAGTTACTAGTAGTAATGTTTAATTTTTTTATTTGATTAGGGGCAGGGGGATTAAGATAATTAATTATATTTACACAACTTAAGTGATTAGTAGAACAAAAATACAAAAATAATAATAAAAATAAAAATGATATAAAAATAACTACATGTCATGACTCATGCGTTTTAAATATAAAAATCACGTGTTCAGAAGAAAGAACTACAATGCACTGTTTACTTTAGAATTTCTCATTGATAATTGAAAGTTGTTGACTTCTTGGTGGTGTGTGAAATTGAGCTTGGAAAATCTGTTACTTGGCATCCCTTTGTGACTATAGTCTAGCAAAAATAGGAAAGACCACAAATCATAAAAAAAATTCGCTTTACCCTCCTTGATGATCGTTAATTATTTTAGAGTTAATAAACCGTTCGGTTTACTAGTTTTAAGCTAGTGTGATACATGCATTGGTATGCAATTATATATATGTAAATATATTTAGTTATAATATAATTAATAAATGTTATATAAGAATTAAAATTTTAATGTAAATAAATAAAAAAATATTATTAAAAATTAATATATACCTGTAACAAAATATAAGAAAGATACTTTTCTATCATATACCATCCATTAATAGGATGTTTAAGCAAAAGCCCAAAAATGTTTTATTCCTGAAACTTACTCCATTTAAAATCAATCTCATGTACAAATTCTTTTCAACGGAGATTATTTTATAACTTGTTCTGATGAAAAAAGTTGCAATTGATTTTTAAATGTTTTTTTATTATATATGATGTAATTATTATTTTGCTTGATGATTCAATAAATTCCAAAAGTGTAAATGAATTAACAGATAAGTAATTATAAATGATAAAGTGGACTATTTATTTTATTTATTTTAAATGCACGAATAAGTTGTACTTTCAAAACTAAATTAATTAATATAACTTTTTTATTTATAATATAACTTTTTATGACATACAAAAGCCTAAACCAGTTTAAACCTACGTATCTCTTTCAAATAATTTACGACTCAATTTTAAGATTAATATTTTTTCCCACTACTTATTAAGATTAACTTTTGATAAACATCAATTAGTTTATAAAATAAAATAATTTTTTGAAAATATCAATATTGAGTTTGAAGCATATCATTTAAAACTGAACAGCATAAAAACATTAATTTATTAAAAATGACAAAAAAAAGCTAGTATTAATTAATAAAAATCATCTAACTTTTTTACAATAAAAAATGAAAAACCGAAGTTGCTACGTGCAAAGTACTCTCTCATTCTGAAATAGCAATTCTCTTTTTCTAGCTTTTATACATCATTTGATATAGGAGTTTGGTAGCCTTTGGGAGAGGGAAATTCTATTAAAATTAACGTGAACTCTCTCACTGGAATGAAACTAACTAACTAACTAACTATATATGTATGTATTTATATATATGTATATAAACTATATACACACACATGAGCTCTTCCTGCGTAATTAATTAACCAACACTGTCTCTTGACAATATTAATTGAACTTATTATTTTCCAGTCAGAGAGTTGCGATCATCGAGATAGTGCTGGTAAACGTAGGAAACAAATCCCCATACAGCCAATACCATGGAAATGACCTTAATTCCAGTCATTGAATCGTGGAAAAATATGATTGCCGAGATTGGAACAATGGGTAGCCCTAGAGTGCTGATGACGTTTGAGAAAAGTGAGGAGACTTCGAAGATCAACCCCACCGCACCAATTGAGAAAACATCCCAAGCTATAGCAATCCAAACTAGAACCATCACGTAGGATACCTTTCCTAGTTCAAACCTTTCCATTTCTCTCTTAATACTTTTCCAGTCCCCACTAGCGAAAAATCCCACGAGGATTATCAAAGTTGCAACCAGTGATTGATAGATTATCATGTCTAAGACAACCTTGAATGTTTGTTTCTTCAAAACCTTCTGGAAACAGAGTTGTGTTAAAGACACCATTAATCCGTACCCAGCTGAAGCAGTAACGGTACATACAAATCCGATTACATACTTTCCTTTGGAAACATGATTGGATCCACCAGAGGAATCGTTTTGGAATACAAGAAGGATAGAAGAGATAGTAAGGAGGACAAGGGAGTTGATTATGAAAGCAGTGAACTTTTGTGAGGAAGAAGGAAAACAAGGCATTGAAGGCTAACTGAGAAGCACAAATGAGGGAATAAGTGGAGACCGGAAGGTATAAAAGCCCAAGTGAATACAACAGGCAATCTGCTGCCAGAAGTACTCCAAGTGCAACATACATAGCTGACAGGACTAAAACAGACGGTGGTTTTGTTATTATTATGTTGCTGCTACTGTTTTCTGTTGAAATTTTATATGATGAAAGGTAATACAAGGGAATGAGAATTGGGAAGCCCCCAGGTTGAACTAGGGTTGCCATCCACTTGCTGTTTCCACCTTTGTTATAGTACAGTCTTCCAAGAAGTGTAGCCACTGACTGGCCAGCGAGGAGAAAGGATGAATATATTGCCATTAGGATCCACCATTTATAGCTTCTATGTTGAGTGATTGTCGACTGGCTACTTCCATTTCTTTGCTCAACCAAATTTGCATCTGCTTTGTCTTCCTGAACTGTTAAAGAATATATGCATGTTAAAATTTAGAAGCTTACCATATACAATAAGAAATCTCATTATAATTAAATTGATTCTTGAATGAAAATTAATGATGGATTGTCTTCAAGAATACTTCTGTCTAGAGAAAGTCAGTATGAAAGGCCACCGAAGGAAAAGGAAATAATTGGTTTTGTAGCTTATTCTAAATAGGAAGAGAAATGTTAATTTTGGAGCAGTATTATATGACTGGTACCAGAGGGAGTTGGTTTCCTAAAGCTAAAATTTTTCAAGTTTGGAGCAGAGACAATAGGAAAATACAAATCATATACATAAACATATATAGTTCACTAAATGCATGTTTCCAAGCATGATCATCAAATCACATAGATCAATAATTCCCCTAGGAGAATCCAAGGAAAAATAATTCCCCTAGCTAGGAGGACCATTCTGCAATATTGACTTCAGAATTCAGGGGGGGTACTTTAATTCCACCTCTGATTTGTCAACAAAAAGTAAGCATCATACTAGTTTAGAAAGAAACAGGAAAGAAATTAGAAGCATCTCTGTATATAGTAGCACAAGGAAATCAAATCTTTCAACTCATAAAACACCATCATAATAATCTAAATTACAATGGAAGGAAAAACAATGAGAACTGTGTGTTTCTAGGTATCTTAATGGTTTGTTTTTGGATACGAAAGAGAGAGGTATGGCTTACCCATGATCTTGAGTTGTATTTCTGGTTCAGCTTCCCCATGTCAAAAGTTTTTTGATTACATCAATCAAGAGCAAAAAAAGGCAGAAGGTGAAAGAGAGAAAGAAAATGTTATAAATGAAAGCAAATGGCTTTTTCCTACCTAGCTCGAGCAGTATTCATGGGTCCAATTTCATAGATTTTTTTTTTTTTTCATTTTTACACTATTCAAAGCTTCAAAACCTCTCAATCACCGTCCTTGTCGAAGTTTATTACAAATTCATTGCTTGTTATACAAAAGACAAATTAAGACAAAAACAAAAATCACATGAAAGAAACATTATTGTTTTGTTCTTTTCTCTTAGGAGACCGGCTGAGCATTTATTTTGAATGCTTACCTTAACAAGAACATTCAACTACGTGGATCTCATGAATTAATTATATTAATTTTTGGATTATTCTATTATATATGTAATCAAGATAAATCAGCAAAAATTCATTACCAAAGAGAGTAAGAAAATTGATGACTGGTTAAAGAAGAGCAAAATTATGGCAGGTTTTGCCATTTAATTCATTATCCTAATTAAATATCAATGTTTACTTTATCTATAAAAATGAGACATGAAGATTAAAGTTGGAATTGGTAAGAGTTTGCTTCATTAGCCAGAAATTCTGAGAGCTTTATGACACTGCATTAATATAGCCACTGTTAGCCTGTCAGTGGACGATACTGTCCCAAGTTAGTATTGACGATGACTAGTTTTGATAAAATTGTACGTCTTCATTAAAGGCAAAGATAATATAGCCCTTTGGGGACTCTATTCCAAATTTATTTAGGCCACATCTCAAAATCATATTTTTTTATTTTTTTAAATTTTAAACTACCTAATTAAAAAAACAAAGATTTTACACTAAATCCTTCCAAATTTGTAACTTTTAAAATTTTAATCAAAATGTAACTAATAAATTCAATATATATTTTTAAATTTTTGTAAATATTTAATGAGACATTCTAACTAGTACATTTGTAATAAATTTTTTATTTTAAACATCAATTATTGAATAATATAATTATTACAAGAAGAAAGATCATGAAGAGTCGTTTACGATTCTTCTCTTTAGAAAAAATTTAAAAAATTCACACTCTTTTGATCACATTATATTCCAGGTGACCCTCTTCCAATTTAGACAGACCCTCTTGTGGGGTTGTTATACACTGAACTAAGTTTTAATTTATGCATGGGTTTTTCTTTTCGGATCAAAAATATATATATATATATATATATATATATCTAGGCCTTTGCCATGAGATATATGCTTCTTTGACTCTACTCCAATGTCCCTTGTCGACTTTGCGTTACTCACCCTTCTTCGCCATGATATTAATTTAATTACTTTGCTTTGTAAATGTTTAAACAGGGACTGACTGTTTCAATTTATTTAAGTTTCATTGATGAGATTGATTCAAAAATTAAAAATAATAATAATAATTAATATAATTACAATTAAAAAAATTATAATATAATAAAAAATAAAATAAATTTATTAAATAAATTTTATTAAAATTAATATTTAAATTTAAATAATAATATAATAAATTTAATTACATCAAGTGCGAGAAATTCAAATCGACCTTTAGTTTACTAGGGTGAAACCGATAAATGGGGGGCTGAAACGTGTTTGTGATCATCATGTATCCTCATTATTAAAACAGCTGGAAGTCTGTTTCTTTAAGATTTTTGGCTAACTTTTCTCCGAAAAAATCTTTCCTGATGATTCCGGCAGTGCTATATTTGCTCAACAGTCAACGTTCAAAATCTTATTTAATGATGACGTACAGATTCTTTCCTCCTGTTCGTTTCACACAGCTTTCTTTCTACTGACTTGTCAAACATAAAATTTTGCGGGCAGGAAATTATTTCATTTTAAGTTCAAACATTTAAAAAGAAATTTATATTAAATTTATAAATTACTCACAAAAAATATTACTAACAACAGAAATCAAATTTAAATATAACTAATCCTCAACAAATTTGTTAGTCATCATATCGGTTAAAGAATAATTTATTTCTGAAACCATATGTTTTTCAATGAATTTATGGTCTATATATATATATATATATATATATAAATAGACAGTCAAGGAGATGGACCTTCCATTCATTTCGAGGGCCAAGTCAGTTGAAAGCATCCATTGATCATGCGCATAAAGTATATATAAAGACATTTCATAATAATGCAAAAGGTTAATTCAATTATTCATACTTTAAAAATGATTGCATAATTTTTCATTTAGCACATAAATCCAAGCTGTCATTGTCACAGAAGCTTTAAAACTAATTCTTATCTTTTTGGAAACAATTTGGCCTCTGTAAAAAACTAGTAGTATAGTTCCAAAGTTTTTAACTCAGTTAAAAGTGCTTGAAAGATTATCAAATTTGATTTTAAATTAAATTATTTTTTAATTTTTTATTTATATTAAAATTTTGTTTTTTTAATATAATAATTAAAATTTTTGATTTTAAATTAAATTATTTTTTATTTATATTAAAATTTTATCATCTTAATATAATAATTAAAAAAAAAAACTAGTAATATAGGAAAACAGATTCCATGGCTAAAATTGAACTCGAAATAAGCATTGCCATTCAACAATCATTGCTACCCCCGAAGGTCGACCTGTCCACAACTAACAGCCTATATCTAACAGTCTTGACTTAGTAGTTTTGAAATTTTTAAATCTCAAGTCTTATTACTTGTGAATTTAATCTAATTTTATGTTAAATTCACGTTAATATTGGTTGATTTTTTCATTTAATTTTTGATAATTTCAAATATCAAAAACATTTCGGTTCTCTGTATGTATAAAGGTTTATAAATGATTCATATATAGACGAGAAGTACAAAATAGGAAAATTTGCATTAGCATTGGATCTCGAATTTGCTTGGTGCTGGGACAACACATCTTATGTCACATGAATCTACATTTTTCAATGAATCACCAAAAAATGACAAAGGAAACAATATATGCCATTTTCCACTTTTACAACAAAATGTAAGAAAAAAAAGAATTCCTTCCTGTCGATCGCTGCCCCCATCATAGTCCCAAGGCAATGCCAAGATTCGTAGTTTCAGCTCAAGGACGAGAGTAGAGGGCACTTTTAAATCGTTTGAAGCATTCGAGTCAGAAGCTAGATCCTTAAAGACATCTTCCAAGTTCTCTTATTTTGCTCCAACTATATATAATTTTTCGTATGTACAATGTGAAAGCTCTGACTAACCCCTCCTACGTCATGTTTTCTAAGGCCTGTAATTATGGAATCAATAAATGAAGGATAAGAACATAACAAATTCTGATAATCTTTAGTTTGGAAGAGGCCACGGTATATAAACGAGGAACCCAAGCATCGTCCATAATTCAGAAAACTAGTTAATGCTTCATTGAAATTAGGAGCTTACAGTTGAACGTCGAATCTGAAGAAGAATGAATGAGGTGAAGTACAAACACAATGAAATGGCTACTCCAGCTATGAAATTATATAGCAGCCGTCGGTTGTCTTTTGTGGGTATGAAAACTGACTTAAGTGTATTTGTTAATTCAAACAGGCGATGAGATATCTGCAGAAGGAAAGGTAAGATGGCAGGAAAATGAACAAAATGAATACAGCCAATCAGTTGACAAAATATAAAAGAGTGGAGAATATTTTGCTTACCAAGATATAAATGGCAGTTGTGAGCATGAAGTTGAGCAGGGGATATTCTGGGATGAAAGAAAGAAGCCACTTGGGTTGTCCATTAGGCATGTCTGATCTGCATGTAGGAAATGAAATTATAAGAATCTTATAGACCTTTAAATTTGTTACTCTTGCACAGCTTCAGTGCTTTGTAGAATCATCAAGCTTAAAAGGGACATAGACAGAACTGGATAAGATTGAAGGTTAAGCTATTTCACTACCAGGCTATTTTATAAACATCAGTTTTGAGGAAAAATTAAAAATAGAAAAGTTTAATTGGTTGACAAACCTCAACCAGATATGAAATTGAGAAATATAAGTCTCCAGAGTAATCTTGCCAAGCCACCTAGGTAGCACAAAAATGTATCATAATTAGAGCAAGTGCAAAATAGCTCCAAAGACTCCTCAAAAAGTAATCAGGAGAGCACAATTAATGAATTAGTTATAGTCCAGAAACATACGCAGTAACTTCGAAGCTGTTGAGTACAATTCCGCAAGCAAATATAGACACTAGAATCACAAGAAACCAGAGATGATAGTCAGATCCTGGAAATTGAACTAAAGTGATTTGTTTTACAAGATATTCCATGTGCCTTCACATAAAGTTCCTCGAGTGTTCTAAGTAAACTAGGAAAAGAAATCCTTAATACGCACGTTATGGGGATCCAAGATGTGTAGGGATGGTATTTGTTGTAAGTAACCTTGTCCATCTTGTAAATACATTCATACCACATATATCCAACCTGAAGAATTTAAGAAAATACATAAAGCATCCATCAAAAACCAATGAGCATAAATGTAAAATAGTTATCAAAAGATCAGCCAACTTACAAATACAGAAACTGCAACAATGCTTGCTTTGATTGAGAATTTTCTCTTGGTTTGACATTCCTCCAATTTTTCCATCCATTTCTCAACCTAAGAGTTAAAACATTTCAAAGAGATTGTTGCGCACCAAGGGAACAAGACTTTCTGGAGACTAAAAAATTTAACTTACATTGGGATGATAGTAGGCATATATCATTCGAATTATCCATATATAGCGCGATCAAGGCCAGATCTAAACTGCCACTCATGCAGTTGAGGGAGATCAGGTTTTGCAGGATCAGTGTACCCTGCATTTGAAGGGACAAAAAAGGTGATATAGGCAAACAGCTATAACACATCCAAGCCAAGAAGAATGAACTTGCTTTGAGATAGATATGAAAATAAAAGTCAACAGGGTTTATTCACATGTGAGGTATGCATACTTGAAAGCAAGACAATCAAGGAAGCAGAATATAAGGAAATGAACTTTCTAACCAGTAAATTACTGGTAAGTTTATAAATTAAATAAAAGTAGAAGGAAGTAGGTATGTTGCTGACCTAATAGGAAAGCTAATGGACTCCAGAATATTTCAAAAACTCCA